AAAAGCTATTGAAGTAAAAGATGCTGAGATAGCCAAAATTATACGACGAGAAGTGAACTATGCTGGAGCTCATAATCTTCATTAACCAGAAAGCCAGATTCCTTGCAGCTGCCAAAATTATTACATGGATGGGATGGATCACGGATGGCAATACTTTTGTACGGATAATATCTCTACGTATCAAACCAAGCTGGCAACTTTTGACAATCACATGGCGCAGCAGTTACGTTTGTGATGTCTACCCCTCACCTACCAAAAAGGCTAAAACCATAAACATCTTGGACCATCTTCCTATTGTTTTGGACTCAGAACTCAGGGATTTAATGATTTCAGAAAAGTGATGGACAGATGGAGTCTACATCCCATAAAATTTTTAACATTAGAACTATTTTTCTTTATAAATAATTATAAAATATACAGTCTAGCAACTGCAGCCCTAATGTTATTGCTACTGCTGTGAAACTGAAAGTGAAGATGCCATGGGAAGAGGATGCAAAAGCAATGTTCCTGAGTAGGAACTCTTAGCAGTAGCCGTTGCCTGATGGCTACAACCAGAACTTACCCATTAGTTGCTTCAGAATTTTGGAATTCTCTTCTCAACGTCAGGAGGAAAACAGGCACCTCATAACTTGTTTCCTGATGGTAATGATATTAAGACATTTCTTTTGGTCTCTCCCTTTGAGTGTGGCAAATTTGAAGATAGTGTGGCTTTGTTATTGCCATTGCTGTTTTCCAAGTCACTGGAACTACTAAGCGTCAAGCTTGAAGATTTGGATTCCACTACCAATTGTTGGTGTCTGAGCTCCTTCAGCTGCGTTTGATACTTCGTTTTTAGCCACCTTACTTCTTGCCTGATTTCATTCTCGTAGTCATCAGAGAAATCAAGATCTGGGACATGGCTGACAGAGAAAGATCTTCTTGCCTTGGATTTGCTTCGACTGTCCATGTTAATGATTCTCTCCTCTTCTCCACAGACTGATTTAAGTGATGTCTTATGCACCTGATCATCACAATGGCTATCCCTTGAGCTTATTTCTGGACCTTCCCGTTGTGCCCATATGTCAGTATAATGAATGCTATAAGAGTGGCTTAATGCAGCTTCTGTGCCTTCTGTAGCACATTCTTCTGATTCTTCCACTTGGTATGTAATCTCTTCAAAGCGGCCATGGACAGTGGCACATCCCTGATTTGAGCACTGAAGAACTTGCAGATTTGTGGCACCCGCATTTGCAGATGATACATAATCAGATAAATAGCCATTTGCTGCACAATGCTGGCAGAAACTTGCACTACACCAATGTGAATTTTCATCCAATCCAAGTTCCCTCTTCCACTCCGGAACCAAGGTAGCAATTTCACCATCAATCATATCAGCTATAGTGGTCACTTCTTGGTCAGTAATATCAAGCTCAGAAACCATTTCAGTTGCAACACTCAATGCTGAATCAGTCTCAATGTCAAAAGGAAAGTAGATATTACGAATTCGTCCTGCATAAAAGAATTATGTTCTCAAAATAATATATTTAAACTTTAACCAAACATTGAAACAAGATAGGTATACTGGGAAAGAGATAGATGGGAAGAACTCTAACCTTCTTTATCAGCAATTCTGAGGCGGAGAAAGATGCCATCATCTTCTCTCTTCCTGCCCTCAATCTCGATGTCAATATCTCCCAAATGCTCATCATCTTGAATGCTGAAGAGGTCTAGTTCATGGCAATCTGTCTCATTCTCAAGATCATAACCAGGATAATTAGTATAACCATTGATCAAAGAGCTACTGTTGCTATGATGAAAATCATAAACAGGCTGCCTTATAAGAGGTGTTGCATCACTGTAGCCACTTTGAAACTCTAGTTCCCTCCAATCAATACCATAATCATCTATTTGGAGAAAAGGGTCCTTCAAAAGCTCCTTGGCAGAAAGCCTAAGAGACACAGTTACTAAGCATTTCTCAATGAATTCCTGAACTTCAGGATCCTTTACCCTGTATAGGGCTTCAGGTTTTTTCCCCTATATCCAAAAGAGCAAATTTGTTTAACTATTGAAAACGCAAATTAATCTTAAAAAGAAAAATTATCTAGTTCATACAGTAATAACTTTCTTGTAGATCTGAGCAGGATGAGTGCATTCACTGTATGGATATTCAAAGGTAACCATTTCCAAGATGCACATGCCAAAAGAATATATGTCAACCAGTTCATTGTATTCCTCTTCATATACTTCTGGAGCCATGAACTCCGGGGTTCCTGAGTTAAAATTAAAGAAGAAATGAAACAAAAACAATAAGCTAAGGTCCTAAAACAGAAATTGATGTAAATTGAAATGTTATAGTCCCTGCCTCCTTGGATATGAGAAATTGACATGTTCAATCAATCAACAGTTATATATATTCAATCAATTTTGTAAAATCAATTGAAGATGTTATGAACTCTCCTCTTTTTAGTCCTTTTGAACTAGTTATATACATTCAATCAATTTTGTATAATCAATGAACAAGTTAGTTATATTCAATCAATTTGAAAATTGCAAAACTCTACCGCTTACCAACACAAGTGGCAGCATGTGATTTACGGAGAATTGCAGCAAGCCCTAGATCACCAATCTTGACCTCTCCTTGGTTTCCATTAACAAAAATGTTATCACACTTAAGATCTCTATGAATAACTGGGGGGTCTCGACTATGGAGATAAAGAAGCCCCTTCAAAATCTGTCTACACCAATGCTTCACAGCTCTAATGTTCACTGTCTTATGTTTTAGCCTATACCTACACAGAACATGAAGATCAAAGATTTAAGAAATTCCCACATCAAAGAAATCAAAATACTAAAAGAAGAAAAGTATATATGACAGAATTGAATTGAGACTACGTAATGCTTACTGTCTGAGAGTACCAGAGGTGAACATTTCAGTGACAAAGTTGATGTTCCTGTTAGCAATATCAACCCAGGAAGTATAGAACTTCATTATGTTTTCATGTTTCAGGGTTTTGAGTAAGTGAATTTCACACTGCAGCCTCTCAAGATTCTCAGGACTTTGCAGGAAATCATGAAGCTTCACCTGATTCCATGCTACCTCAATGCCTTGATACTCATCAAAAGCCTTATAACTAAAACCAACCAATCCCAACCTCAACAATTAACCCAGAAATTAAAAAACATAAAATTGGCCAAAAAAAAAAACAAGTCTGATAGAGACTAGAGATTGAGTTCATACACTGTCTTGGAGGCACCTTTGCCAAGAATTTCATTGTACTGCAAAAATGGTGTTACAAAATCAAAACTTTTAACACCCAAAACACAAATACAGGAAGAACTAGGAGCAGAAAAAGAAGCCACCCACCCTTCCATATCTTCCAGTAGGATCAACTTCAACATACTCAGAGTAATCTGGTTCAAGATTTGTATCAACATTCATTCCCTTGTTCCCGTTTACTCTTTCTCTATGTTAAGATTTCTCACTTCAAAATGCTTCTACTAGACAAAGAAGCAGTGCAGAGAAGGAGAGATGAATTGAGGTTAAAGGTTAATTGCCAACTACTCAAGAGACCACGAGGCAAAGATTTCACAATGGTATTGTCCCCACCAAAACAAGACCTTCAAATAAAAAAAAAAAAAAAGAAAAAGAAAAAGAAAAAAACCCCCTTTCCTCCTTTTAGTCCGTTTCCATCTCCATCTTCACTTTTCTATCTACTCACGAGCCGTAAAAACCCCAACTTTTTCCTTCCTCTCTCCTCTAGGCATGCACCAGGAACAGGTTGCCAGAGTTTTCTTTTTTTGCAGTTTACGTGGCTTTGCACAACTGCAGCTCAAGTGGATTTTTGGGATTTTTTTTCATTTTTGGCTAAAGGATAAACATCATCATGAATATACCGTGAGCAGTTCTTATCTTCCAGAACCTAGGCTGAAAATGCTACTGTCTTTTTATTTTTTATTTTTTTTCCTAATCTTTTCTCACCCTTTCCAACCCATGATCACCCTCACCTAAAAAAATTTATTGCCCCCATCTATTCATCCAAATTGTTGTAAGGTCAATAATTTTTCAATAATTTTATTTATTTATAATTTTTTAAATAATATACAATAATATTTAAAAATATTTTTTATAA